CAAACGTTGTCCTCACGCTGGGAGTCTCCTGCTCCCTCGCGCTGGGAGTCTCCTGCTCCCTCGCGCTGGGAGTCTCCTGCTCCCTCGCGCTGGGAGTCTCCTGCTCCCTCGCGCTGGGAGTCTCCTGCTCCCTCGCGCTGGGAGTCTCCTGCTCCCTCGCGCTGGGAGTCTCCTGCTCCCTCCATGAGCCACACACAACTGAGCAACTCTGGGTGCTTTGTCTCCCTTGAGGGAGTGATTAGCACCAGGTGTGAGGTCTCCACACCTGCTCCCAATGCTGCTAATTGGAAGCGGGTGGAGCCACCTGTTGGGAATGAAGGTGTCTCCCACTACCCTGCCTCTCAGTCCCTTACAATGTATATAGACTTCTTGCACTATTTTGTATTTTAGTATTTGATTATATATGTTGCTTTGTTGGAGGAGCTCAGGTCAGAAGAATGTCATTTCCATTTCTGCACTTTAGCTTTGTGCACATGACAATAAAACCTTTGGATCTTGAACCTTGAACCTTTAAGGGCATGCAAAGAGAAAGAAAGGTGACAACCTCAATAAACTAGGACAGACATCAGTACAGCTTTTAACAAGCAGAGATGGGGTCCTTACTAAAAAAAAGTAATATATTACACTACTTCGTTACTCTCTACATAAAGTAACTCGTTACTTTACTCGCAGGGCCGGCCCGCCCCTCCCTACAGGCAGATCACGCAGACTGCGGTGCACCTACAGTGTGCGCGCCACAGTTTTGCCTCTGCGAGACTCCACTTGCACCCCAATTACTATTGCATTAAGGAAGACATAACACAAGTCTTTCTTTATGCTCTCAAATAGGCTACCAGCCACACAACAAGCTCACAGTCTGTGAAACGTCAAGACACTAATTAATGAAACCAGTTCAAGACGCATTATTCTTATCATTCTTTATGAGCGCATAACGGTAAGGTATCTAATTACTTATGTATTTAGTATTCCATAACTTAGTAACAGAGATGGTCAAACTAAAGTGGTAGAGGCAGAATTCCTACAATGAAGCGGGACATTGAACTGTTCACCCGTGAGAGGGCGATCAACAAAAGAGAGCGAGCGGCGCGTTGAGGGAGTTTACAGATGAGAAGACTCAGCCATGTTTATGCAGCACTGCACGTGGAGATGTGGTCTCGCAAATCGCGCAGATTACATAGGCCTACATGTAAACCTGCGGCGGAAACCCCTCTAGTCTGTCAGTGAGTGTGATTATTTTATAAAAGTAACGAAGTAACGCGTGTCGGGGCAATGTTAGTAACTATAGTGTGATTACTGAATTAAACGCGTTACACTACTCCGTTACCGACTAAAGTAATATTATTACACCCAACTCTGGTAACAAGTCGTCGTCCCATGTGTAGTAATGGTACCAGCTAAAGTAGTGGCACTAAACCGGTGAGAGTAGTCCCTGAGTCTGACCTGGTCCTTGGAGAAAGCCAGGATGTAGGCCAGCTTCTTCCCCCAGCCCACTTCATAAAGCAGAGGTTTATCACAGCCGTTCTCACACGAGTCGCAGTGCAGCCACCGGCGCTGAGAAGTGGAGAAAACCTCCGTCCACACGTGATCTGAAACACCACGGAAACATTTAACACACTTCACACACACACCGGCATGGACTGCTGTTGTTCTGCAGAGACCATGAGGACGACACATCCTTCAGTGGTCTCTGTGGAGGACACTCTCAAGAGAAACTGATACATGCTTCATGGACAAAGTTTGTCTTTTGTGATATTTAATAAAGTCATAAAGAAAGTCAGTATAAAGTGAAATGGATCTGAAATGCAGGAACAGAGCAGCTTCACCCTCAGAGGAGAGAGAGGTTCTGCTCTGTGTGTGCATGAGAGGAAACAGCTGCTCCTCCATCCCATCATCAAACCCCTCGTCCTTAACCATTTAAATCCACCTTTCACTTCCTTTAGCTCCTGAAATGTATATCCTAAACACATGTCTCTGTTAAAATCATACAGGACTTAAAATACAATGTTAACAGTGTAAAAGGCAATCAGAGTATAAGACTATATGTTGTGCTCCCTCTCTCTGTTTCTTATCTATATCTATAGAACTGCTCGGGTCTTGATAGATTGAGTGGGGAAGTTCATGAGATCTTTCTAGAGGGTTATCAAGAATAACTTGTATCCAATGACCTCTCCCCTCTCTGTCTGTGTCTGTGTATTCTCTTGTTCCGATTAACCCAGCCAAATCTTTGTTCTTGTTTTGTATCTATATCTACGCCGGGATCCGGAGTCGAGGCTGATCCTCTTGCTGTAGTCCTGTGTCTTGGATCCTCTATCCTGAGTTCTGGATTAAGTCGTGGACTTCGGGTCGTGGCTGAACCTGTCTCTGCGGTCCTGCCTTGGGTCTCGTCAGGCTGCTTCCCTGATGGCTTCCTCAGGATTGTAGCTGACATCCTCGTGGATTCATCTTCTTATTACAGACACATGCATTTCCTAACATTCGGTCTATATGCTGTAAAATGTATTTTCTCTTGGATTTACACACGGCATCTATTGCACGTCTGTCCGTCCTGGGAGAGGGATCCCTCCTCTGTTGCTCTCCCTGAGGTTTCTCCCATGTTCCCTTTAACTGTGGGTTTCTCTGTTTCCTTGTACGAAGTGAGGGTCTAAGGACAGAGGGTCTAAGGACAGAGGGTCTAAGGACAGAGGGTCTAAGGACAGAGGGTCTAAGGACAGAGGGTCTAAGGACAGAGGGTCTAAGGACAGAGGGTCTAAGGACAGAGGGTCTAAGGACAGAGGGTCTGAGGACAGAGGGTCTGAGGACAGAGGGTCTAAGGACAGAGGGTCTAAGGACAGAGGGTCTGAGGACAGAGGGGTTGAGGACAGAGGGTCTAAGGACAGAGGGTCTAAGGACAGAGGGTCTGAGGACAGAGGGTCTGAGGACAGAGGGTCTAAGGACAGAGGGTCTAAGGACAGAGGGTCTGAGGACAGAGGGTCTAAGGACAGAGGGTCTAAGGACAGAGGGTCTAAGGACAGAGGGTCTAAGGACAGAGGGTCTGAGGACAGAGGGTCTAAGGACAGAGGGTCTAAGGACAGAGGGTCTAAGGACAGAGGGTCTAAGGACAGAGGGTCTAAGGACAGAGGGTCTAAGGACAGAGGGTCTAAGGAAGAGGGTCTAAGGACAGAGGGTCTAAGGACAGAGGGTCTGAGGACAGAGGGTCTGAGGACAGAGGGTCTAAGGACAGAGGGTCTAAGGACAGGGTCTGTCTAAGGAAAGAGGGTCTAAGGACAGAGGGTCTGAGGACAGAGGGTCTAAGGACAGAGGGTCTAAGGACAGAGGGTCTAAGGACAGAGGGTCTAAGGACAGAGGGTCTAAGGACAGAGGGTCTGAGGACAGAGGGTCTAAGGACAGAGGGTCTAAGGACAGAGGGTGTAAGGACAGAGGGTCTAAGGACAGAGGGTCTAAGGAGAGGGTCTAAGGACAGAGGGTCTGAGGAAGAGGGTCTAAGGACAGAGGGTCTGAGGACAGAGGGTCTAAGGACAGAGGGTCTAAGGACAGAGGGTCTAAGGACAGAGGGTCTAAGGACAGAGGGTCTAAGGACAGAGGGTCTAAGGACAGAGGGTCTAAGGACAGAGGGTCTAAGGACAGAGGGTCTGAGGACAGAGGGTCTGAGGACAGAGGGTCTAAGGACAGAGGGTCTAAGGACAGAGGGTCTAAGGACAGAGGGTCTGAGGAGAGGGTCTGAGGAAGAGGGTCTAAGGACAGAGGGTCTGAGGACAGAGGGTCTAAGGACAGAGGGTCTCAGAGGGTCTAAGGACAGAGGGTCTGAGGACAGAGGGTCTAAGGACAGAGGGTCTGAGGACAGAGGGTCTGAGGACAGAGGGTCTAAGGACAGAGGGTCTAAGGATAGAGGGTCTAAGGACAGAGGGTCTAAGGACAGAGGGTCTAAGGACAGAGGGTGTCGTTTTTCTCATACTGATATTCTGAACAATCTGTGTTGTATTTGCTGTAAAGTGTCTCTACTGTAGGCTATTTTTATTTATGTTCAGCACTTTGGCTCCACCAAACATCGTTTATAAATGTGCTCTATAAATAAAACTTGATTTGATTTGAAATGATTATATGACAATATGACAATAAAACCTTTGAAAGCAGGTACCTGTGCTGTCCCAGATGTACCGTGCCTCCAGACCCATGGCTCTGCAGCACAGAGTGAAGCAGTTGGCCCACTCCCCACAGCGCCCCCTCCTCGTCTCCAGGAGCTTCTCAGGATTGTTGTATCTGCAATTAACAAAACAGAATGTATAATCAATAAAACAGCCCCGTTACCACCTGGTGTTTACAGCATATCGGGTTAGAACATGTCTCACTTCTCTGCTCTGCATGCAAAATAACGCAAGCATTGTTTCCGTGTGTGTGTGTGTGTGTGTGTGTGTGTGTGTGTGTGTGTGTGTGTGTGTGACTGTTTGTTTCTAAGGAACTCTCTCTCTGTGGTGACTCAGAAACTCATGATGAGTCACGCTGGAGTTAAAGAGTGTTACTATCAAACGGTGCAAACAATAATCACCATGCAATAACTAAATAAGTGCCTTTCCTAACACACACACACACACACACACACACACACACACACCCACACACACACACACACACACACACACACACACACACACACACACACACACACACACACACACACCACACACACACACACACACACACACACACACACACACACACACACACACACACACACACACACACACACACACACACACACACACACACACACACACACACACACACACACACACACACACACACACACACACACACACACACACACACTTATCTTTTAGTAGTATTAATGTTCATGTTTTATGGTTCAGTGATATAACTCTTTCTGTTTGTCATTTTCTGTCATACTCTCTGTAAAGCACTTTGGGCTGCGTCAAGCATGAAAGCGGCTATATATAAATAAAGTGTATTGTTATTATTATAAAGTGTTATTTATAATCAGGCGTGTGAATGAGTCTCGTATGCAGGGGTTAAAGGGTTAATATTCACCGAGGTGTGAATATTAACCTCGGTCTTCACCCTAAAATGAATGATTCCCCTCATGGGGACCTCCAATTTGTCCCCATAAGGGAGGCGAGTGCCCACACGTGACTGTGTAAACAGATTTGGGTCCCCACAAGTATAGTAATGCGAGAACACACACACACACACACACACACACACACACACACACACACACACACACACACACACACACACACCACACACACACACACACACACACACACACACACACACACAACACACACAACACACACAACACACACACACACACACACAACACACACACACACACACACACACACACACACACACACACACCACACACACACACACACACACACACACACACACACACACACACACACACACACACACACACACACACACACACACACACACACACACACACACACACACACACACACACACACACACACACACACACACACACACACACACACACACACACACACCCACACACACACACACACACACACACACACACACACCTGGGGAACCTGGTGGAGAGCCTGCAGGTGTGACAGTAGTGGTTCTCGACCCTCTGGGCCCCCCAGCGTAGGTCCTCAGCAGAGGGCTGCAGAGGGTTAGAGTTCTGCGTGGCTCCTGAGCAGCGGCTGCACGGCAGGTGGTCCACCCAGGAGAAGAAGTCCTGTTTGAACCATCTGAGCAGCTCCAGCACCAGGAAGTCCTCCAGGCCCAGTTTACAGTCTGCAGACAGGAGATCTGAGTCACATGACACACGTTCAACCTTCTCTCGCACTACTTTTAACATTCTCTCCTACCATTTTAATCCTATTTCTTTTTTGCATTATTTTTATAGTTTCATGTCATATATATATTTATGATGGATTGTTGGAGGAACCTGTGACTTAAGGGTCTCCTATTATACTTGTATTATACTCTCAGATATATAAAAAACATGTCTATGAAGTGTTTTGCTCAAAATACCAAACAGATCACCCATTCTAAAACCCCCAGACTCAGCTTCCTCCCTCAGGCCATACGACTATCAACTGTTGAACCAACATCCATAACATCTGTTTGTAGGGCTGTCCCGAATACCATTTTTCGGGCTCCGGATATTCGGTAGTAATCAGCAGCGAACCGCTTCAACACGTGTATTTCGGTTTTATTCACAACATTCATTTAGTTATTCTACAGTATTGTTGTTTTATAGTTATTTGTTGATGTAACCCAATTTGTGTTCTTTGAAATTGAAAAGGATATCGCATCGTGTTTGTTACTTTCGTTGCAGTTGTGTCTTAAGTGTAATTTGGCTTCGTATTTATGGATATGCTTTTATTTTGAAGGAGAGTTAGCGCAGTTGACAGGAAGTTGTTGTTGCTATGAACGTGACGGAGATTAACGGAGAAAAGTAATTTCTACATATAAAGACGGAGAAAGTAAACGATAACGTTTATGGTTAAGTGTTGGCACCCCCGAAGAGGAACAAGCTCTTACGTTGATATTGGAGATTTCAATAAATTCAATTTGAAAAAAAAACGGGAAGAAAACGAAAAAACAAACAAAACGAATAACGAAATTGAAACCCGAATAGTACTCCAACGAACGAATATTCGGATACAGCCCTATCTGATTGCATCTTGAAATTATTTATCTAATATATATATTCCATGTACTTGTATATAGACTCTTCTTGCACTATTTCTATTGTATTTGGATTTACTTGCACATCTCAAAACATTCTCCTGCACTATTTTATCTGTTTTATGTCCAATATATATTCATGTTGCTCTGTTGAGGGAGCCTGTGATTTAAGTGTGTCATTGCCATATCTACACTGTAGCTACTAAATGACAATAAAGCTTTGAAACTTGAAACACATTCAACATTCTCTCTCACTATTTCTGTTTGCACTATTTGTATAGTTGTATGTCCTATCATATGTATTTACGCTGGATTCTCTGAGGATCCCGGGATGTAATATTTCCATATCTACATGTATCTCCTGTGCACCTGACAGTAAACCTCTGAATGTTGTTCACCTGGATCCTCCTCTCTGGCCCCTCTCAGCTGGACCTCTGCCTCAGACCTCAGCCTCTCCTCAGGGATGCGGCTCAGAGCTTTCTGCTGCAGATCCAGGTTCTCGTACAGCAGCACGTGTTGGAAGTTAGACTGCAGGGTGGCAAAGAAGTTCATACTGTTCTCCTGAAGGAAACACAGGAGCACAAAACAGGTTACTAACACATCGTTAACCCTTAAATGGTTTCTGTGGGATACAGTCATTTGACAGGCTGTGAAATGGGGTGTAGTATTGGTGTTACATGGGTGTGATATGAGTGTATAATTATGGGTGTAATACAGTTGTAATAATCGTTTACATGGGTGTAATGGGCTGTAAAGTTTCAGACTTGATCTGACCGTTATAATAATATCGTATCGTTATAATGGTGCAACATGTATATATATATAATATACCCATTTAAGGGTTGATAGTAAACCAGGGAAGAGCTCATCTTTACCAGGGAGGAAGGCTGAGGTGGAGGAGGTGCAGAGATCACTGGAGCTGAGGCTGAGCTGGGAGTAGTGGGAGAGGTAGTGGCTAAAGTGGGAGTAGTGGGAGAGGTAGTGGCTAAAGTGGGAGTAGTGGGAGAGGTAGTGGCTAAAGTGGGAGTAGTGGGAGTAATGGGAGATGCAGCCTGCCTCCCCCCCAGTCTCCGGTCTCTTTCTGCTGCTATGGAGTCCCTGATGAGCTTCATCTGATCCACTGATGCAGACCTGGGGAACACCAGGTGGGTCTCAGCCTGAAAGGAGGAGGACATCACTGTCAGTGTCAGGCGAATGACAACATCAGAAGTAGGGCCGCACGATTTGGGGAAATAATCTAATTGCGATTTTTCTGACAGATATTGCGATTCGATTTGCGATATTTGTTTTGAAGCGACCCAGCGGACGTTTATTGTAAAATGCGGCCATATCTGCGGCTAGGAAGGTCGTATCAACGTGCTCCCGTCTCTAGTTAAAGAACTAAACTTACATGAAACTTCCGTTGGGTTGCTTTAAAGTCGAGCTTCAGTTTAAGATTCACCCTGTAATAGAAACATGTGATGGAGCATCACTGACCTGACTCAGAAACCATCTAAAGCTCCACTGGAAGCCATTTGGAAAGGGCAGGCACTTTCAAAGATACTTGGCAGGTGATTGGATCAATCTGTCTATCACCTTCTATCATGGGCCACTTCTGATTGGTTAACAATGGCTGGGACATGTGGAGCACAGCACTTCTGATTGGTTAACAATGGCTGGTACATGTGGAGCACAGCACTCTGATTGGTTAACAATGGCTGGGACATGTGGAGCACAGCACTTCTGATTGGTTAACAATGGCTGGGACATGTGGAGCACAGCACTCTGATTGGTTAACAATGGCTGGGACATGTGGAGCACAGCACTTCTGATTGGTTAACAATGGCTGGTACATGTGGAGCACAGCACTCTGATTGGTTAACAATGGCTGGGACATGTGGAGCACAGCACTTCTGATTGGTGTGGAGGACTGAGACACAAGAAGATTGAATAATTGCATCATTTCAAATCGCGATTTCGATGGTTCCGCCCTAGTCAGAAAGCAGACTCTGAGCATTACATTAAACCATATCTTGTTTATTTTAGTCCGTCCTGCACAACCCTCAGAATTGTGCACATTGTACACAAAGCTACGTCTACATCGATACGGCTTTTCACTATTCATACCAATCCTGCACATTTAATTATATTTGTACGGGTATATCTGTATAACATTATATTCAATGTAAATATTGCAATTTCTTACATTTTCATTTTAAATCATTATTTTACTTTATGGTCATTTTCTTATAATGTATCTTCTCTAACTGTGTTTATGTTGATGCACCAAAAACACCAAGGCAGTAAACCTGCTCCTGAACACCTTCATTAGTCCCACAGAGGGGATATGCACATCGTTACAGCATCAGTGAAGAGGCAAAATAATAATAAAGAGGCAGCAATAAGATATTAGAGATAGAAATTAGTACAATAACAGTATTATTAAAGACATCAAATAAGTGTAGCATGTAGAAGTAGTGTGATAGCAGCCAGATTGTAGTGGTTCATTACCTCCTCAAACCCCATCTCAAAGAGGCACTCCACGGCTCCTTTGATGGGCAGCAGCTTGGTGGAGAACGTGGGGTTTCCGATGCGGATCGATCGGTACTTTTCCTCATTGGGAAACCTGTTGGGAAGAGACACGAGAAGAGGCCGTTAAGAGCTGTGTTCGAGGCCGTCAGGGCGGTTCTGTGGTCGGGAAGAGACACGTTACTAGGTACCAACGACGAGACACACACCATGAAGTAGAAGTACTCAGATTGTGTACTTGAGTAAAAGGAGAAGTACTCAGATTGTGTACTTGAGTAAAAGGAGAAGTACTCAGATTGTGTACTTGAGTAGAAGTACTCAGTTCTTGTACTTGAGTAAAAGTAGAAGTACTTAGTTATTGTACTTGAGTAAAAGCAGAAGTACTCAGATCTTGTACTTAGTAAAAGTAGAAGTACTCAGTTATTGTACTTGAGTAAAAGTAGAAGTACTCAGATCTTGTACTTAGTAAAAGTAGAAGTACTCAGTTATTGTACTTAGTAAAAGTAGAAGTACTCAGTTATTGTACTTGAGTAAAAGTAGAAGTACTCAGATCTTGTACTTAGTAAAAGTAGAAGTACTCAGTTATTGTACTTGAGTAAAAGTAGAAGTACTCAGATCTTGTACTTAGTAAAAGTAGAAGTACTCAGTTCTTGTACTTGAGTAAAAGTAGAAGTACTCAGATCTTGTACTTAGTAAAAGTAGAAGTACTCAGTTCTTGTACTTGAGTAAAAGTAGAAGTACTCAGTTCTTGTACTTGAGTAAAAGTAGAAGTACTCAGTTACTTGTACTTTTGAGTAAAAGTAGAAGTACTCGATCTTGTCTTAGTAAAAGTAGAAGTACTCAGTTCTTGTACTTGAGTAAAAGTAGAAGTACTCAGTTCTTGTACTTGAGTAAAAGTAGAAGTACTCAGTTCTTGTACTTGAGTAAAAGTAGAAGTACTCAGTTCTTGTACTTGAGTAAAAGTAGAAGTACTCAGTTCTTGTACTTGAGTAAAAGTAGAAGTACTCAGATCTTGTACTTAGTAAAAGTAGAAGTACTCAGTTCTTGTACTTGAGTAAAAGTAGAAGTACTCAGATCTTGTACTTGAGTAAAAGTAGAAGTACTCAGATCTTGTTCTTGAGTAAAAGTAGAAGTACTCAGATCTTGTTCTTGAGTAAAAGTAGAAGTACTCAGATCTTGTACTTGAGTAAAAGTAGAAGTACTCAGATCTTGTACTTGAGTAAAAGTAGAAGTACTCAGATCTTGTACTTGAGTAAAAGTACTCAGATCTTGTACTTGTGTAAAAGTAGAAGTACTCAGATCTTGTTCTTGAGTAAAAGTAGAAGTACTCAGATCTTGTACTTTAGTAAAAGTAGAAGTACTCAGATCTTGTACTTATTAAAAGTAGAAGTACTCAGATCTTGTACTTGAGTAAAAGTAGAAGTACTCAGATCTTGTAGTAAAAGTATAAGTACTCAGATCTTGTTCTTGAGTAAAAGTAGAAGTACTGAGATCTTGTACTTGAGTAAAAGTAGAAGTACTCAGATCTTGTTCTTGAGTAAAAGTAGAAGTACTCAGATCTTGTACTTGAGTAAAAGTAGAAGTACTCAGATCTTGTTCTTGAGTAAAAGTAGAAGTACTCAGATGTTGTACTTGAGTAAAAGTAGAAGTACTCAGATCTTGTACTTGAGTAAAAGCAGAAGTACTCAGATGTTGTACTTGAGTAAAAGTAGAAGTACTCAGATCTTGTACTTGAGTAAAAGTAGAAGTACCAGAGTGTAGGCATACTCTACAGTAAAAGTCCTGCATTCAAAATGTTCCTCAAGTAAAAGTAGAAAAGTATTCTCATCTAAATATAGTGAAAGACAGTAAAAGTAGTCGTTGTGCAGATTGGTCCATTTCAGAATAATATATATGATATGTTTTATAATGATTGATCATGAAAGTGTTCTCAAAGCTGGTAAAGGTGCAGCTAGTTTGAAGTACTTTGTATACTGCAGGGTAGCTGGTGGATTTACTCCAGGTGGAACTAAAGTCTGATTTAACACTTGATTAGATTTCACATCATTCATCCAGATCTGTGAAGTAACTAAAGGTAATAATACATGTAGTGGAGTAGAAGTACACAATTTACCTCTGAACTGTAGTGGAGTAAAAGTACACAGTAGTAAAGTACAAGTACCTCGAAATTGTACTTAATTACAGTACTTGAGTAAATGTACTTAGTTACTTTACACCAGTGCTTTTAACTGATGCGTTTACACAGTTGTTGTTGTTGTTGCTGTTGTTGACAAACACAATGCTAGTTTGTTATTGATTAACATCAGTTTTCATCACATGACTTCCAACTGAAGGCATTATGAAAAGAAGACAGAAACAATATTAGTGAATCGAGGATTAAATTGTGTAGAAATTGGTATAATTGTTTACTTTTGCCACATTTTATAGATTTAGTTTTGTATAGTTTCGTGTCATTAAGAAAACGATATAAATACACAAAATGACAGCTAAGCTACAAACCACATCAACAAAGCGCTAGTTCAGATATAAACCTTACCTCATGATATTATCAGAGTACGTCAGTAACAGCTTCGCCGCGTCCAGAAAGGCTTCATCTGAATTCTCACATAAAGTCGTGACTGCTGGAGAAACAGACATCTTTATTACACAAACCGACAGTGTTCACAAGCTGAGCTAACGATGCTAACGATGCTAATAGATATTGGGGTCCCTTTGGAGTTTTAGGTGACGTATCAGCGCCTGAATACGTATTTGTAGTTTATAAAATACGTAAAATAAGACTTTCTTCTCCCTGCTCTTTTCCACCATGGCCTACAAACACTGCGTGAAGTGTACATGTTGTGTTTTATAATAATTGCCATGAGTGTAAGAAACTAATAACTACATGTACGTGCTAAACCAATCAGGCGTTCAGAATTGTTCAAAGCCCCAACTGACTGGAATACTTGACCTGCTGATCAGGTTAAACATGCATTATCATCTCACTTTCAACTGCTCTGTACTTGTTATAACTGATATTGATGAAACTGATTTGCTCGACTGTCTCAAATTGTAATGATTGTATGCATTGCTTGAATTTCACTGAACAGAATTTCATGTTTTGCATTTTGTCTTTTTGTTTATGTCTGTCTGTAAGTTGTTGCTATTGTCGGGACCCCCTTGGAAACGAGATGGTGCATCTCAAGGGGTTTATCCCAATCAATAAAATGTCTATATATATAATAACTACATGTACGTGCTAAACCAATCAGGCGTTCAGAATTGCTACCTATAAGCATTTGTCAGGCAGTTTGAAGGATAAACTCGTTTATTTTCTTGTTTATTGGATTTATTAACAATTTACAGGTAACTTTGAAGTAGTGTGTGGCCGAGTAAGTAACACACGTATGTTTTGGAGGGTATTTTAATTGTATCTGTGTATATGAATCCCTGTTATACAAACGAAACTACAAGCTAACTGTATAGACATGTGTGAGTAGACTGTCACAAATATGACTATAAGAGGGGAGTGTTAGCTTCAGGGTTATCTCATTAAAACTTAACTTAGGGAGAGCCTCAGACAAGCCTGTTTGTTTTTAAGAGCAACCAGAATTATAGAGAGAATTGTGTGTGTTTCCTGCAAATCTACTGACACTTGATTCCTGTAGGTGGAGCCAATACACCTCACAGAAGAAGAAGGAAACCTTTTAAAGAAGCAGCATGTCTGCTCTGTCACTTTCCTGCAGGACTAAACTCCAGCTGAGACCTCACAACATCCGGGTCCTTCTTCAAAAATCACTCTGTGTTTCTCCAGACCAAGACTCAAGACGCTGCAGCTCTGGAACGCAGAAAAGGAGGGTTGTGATCACTGGGATTGGGTTGGTTTGTCCTCTGGGAACAGGCACTACTTTACCCTGGGAACGCTTGATTAAGGGACATAATGGGATTGTGGCTCTCACCTCAGAGCAGTACAGAACCATCCCCTGTAGAGTGGCTGCTCTGGTGCCCAGAGGGAAAGGAACCGGGGCAATTTGAGGAGGAGAAGTTCGCATCTCGAGGGGAAATCAACAGCATGTGTCCGGCTACTGTGATGGCACTTGGAGCTGCTCAACTGGCTCTGGAGGACTCAGGTTGGACCCCGAAGACCACAGGTGGGTATTAGTGGAGTACAAATACTTCATTACTGTACTTAAAGGTCACCTATTAGGCAAAATCCTCTTCTTCATGTCTCTTCTACATCAACATGTGTCCCCTCTTCTTCATGTCTCTTCTACATCAACATGTGTCCTCTCTTCTTCATGTCTCTTCTACATCAACATGTGTCCCCTCTTCTTCATGTCTCTTCTACATCAACATGTGTCCCCTCTTCTCCATGTCTCTTCTACATCAACATGTGTCTCCTCTTCTTCATGTCTCTTCTACATCAACATGTGTCCCCTCTTCTTCATGTCTCTTCTACATCAACATGTGTCCCCTCTTCCTCATGTCTCTCATCAACATGTGTCTCCTCTTCTTCATGTCTCTTCTACATCAACATGTGTCCCCTTTTCTTCATGTCTCTCATCAACATGTGTCCCCTCTTCTTCATGTCTCTCATCAACATGTGCCCCCTCTTCTTCATGGCTCTTCTACATCAACATGTGTCCCCTCTTCCTCATGTCTCTCATCAACATGTGTCCCCTCTTCTTCATGTCTCTCATCAACATGTGTCCCCTCTTCTTCATGTCTCTTCTACATCAACATGTGTCCCCTTTTCTTCATGTCTCTCATCAACATGTGTCCCCTCTTCTTCATGTCTCTCATCAACATGTGCCCCCTCTTCTTCATGTCTCTTCTACATCAACATGTGTCCCCTCTTCTTCATGTCTCTCATCAACATGTGTCCCCTCTTCTTCATGTCTCTTCTACATCAACATGTGTCCCCTCTTCCTCATGTCTCTTCTACATCAACATGTGTCCCCTTTTCTTCATGTCTCTCATCAACATGTGTCCCCTCTTCTTCATGTCTCTCATCAACATGTGTCCCCTCTTCCTCATGTCTCTTCTACATCAACATGTGTCCCCTCTTCTTCATGTCTCTTCTACATCAACATGTGTCCCCTCTTCTTCATGTCTCTTCTACATCAACATGTGTCCCCTCTTCTCCATGTCTCTTCTACATCAACATGTGTCCCCTCTTCTTCATGTCTCTTCTACATCAACATGTGTCCTCTCTTCTTCATGTCTCTTCTACATCAACATGTGTCCCCTCTTCTCCATGTCTCTTCTACATCAACATGTGTCCCCTCTTCTTCATGTCTCTTCTACATCAACATGTGTCCCCTCTTCTTCATGTCTCTTCTACATCAACATGTGTCTCCTCTTCTTCATGTCTCTTCTACATCAACATGTGTCTCCTCTTCTTCATGTCTCTTCTACATCAACATGTGTCCCCCTCTTCTTCATGTCTCTTCTACATCAACATGTGTCCCCTCTTCTTCATGTCTCTTCTACATCAACATGTGTCCCCCTCTTCTCCATGTCTCTTCTACATCAACATGTGTCCCCTCTTCTTCATGTCTCTTCTACATCAACATGTGTCCCCTCTTCTTCATGTCTCTTCTACATCAACATGTGTCCCCTCTTCTTCATGTCTCTTCTACATCAACATGTGTCCCCTCTGTGGAAAGAGACTCTGAAAGTTTCAGGAACAAAGATTCTCTCTCTTTTGATCAATTTCTATAAAAACCTGTCTGAAAATGAGCTGATCAGATTTTGGTCACTTTATGATGTCATAACGATGTTTTTTTTTATAATAGGGGACCTTTAAGTACATGTTTCTGGTATCAGTACTTCACTCCACTACTTATTTTTCTGATGACTTTTTACTTTAACTTCTTACATGTTGAACTCAAATACCTGTACTTTCTACTTCTTACATGTTGAACTCAAATACCTGTACTTTCTACTTCTTACATGTTGAACTCAAATACCTGTACTTTCTACTTCTTACATGTTGAACTCAAATACCTGTACTTTCTACTTCTTACATGTTGAACTCAAATACCTGTACTTTCTACTTCTCTCATTTTCCAAACAGCTGGTTCCTTTAGTCTGAATGTGTGTTTGATGCGTGATCATTATTCTTTAGAGTCATTGCGTGCCTATTGATTTGAACACGATCCGTGTATCCATCATTTCCCGGTCTTCTCTAAAGAAGAGGGACCAATGGAAACGTTGTCATGTTGCCGTTGTTCAGCATGGAAACATTCATTAGCTAACAATGACCTTATTGTTCTATTAATATAAAGGGAGGTCAGGTACTCTTTAAAGCAGCTGCTAGTTATGGGTACTTTTTACTGAAGTACATTTCAAAGCCTCTTTACTTTGACTTGAGTAAAGAAGTTTAGTCAGTACTTCTACTTTCACCAGAGTATGTTTAAACACGAGTATCTGTACTTCTACTTGAGTAAAGGATGTGTACTTTTCTCTCCCTAAAACCCCAGAAGAGCAGCTCCGCACTGGGGTAGCTGTGGGGATGGGCATGGTGTCTCTGGAGGAAATCTCTCGCACCGCCTCTGCTTTCCAGGACAAAGGATACAAGAAGGTCAGCCCCTTCTTCGTGCCTCGAATCCTCGTCAACATGGCCGCCGGGCACATCAGCATCCGGCACAAACTGAAGGGCCCCAACCATGCAGTTTCTACAGCTTGCACAACGGGAGTTCACGCTATAGGAGACGCTGCCAGATTCATATCCTACGGAGATGCAGATGCGATGGTGGCAGGAGGAGCAGAGTCCTGCGTGGGTCCTTTATCTGTAGCTGGGTTCTCCAGAGCAAGGGCCCTCGCTACGAAGTGGAACGATGATCCTCCGAAGGCTTCCAGGCCCTTTCACCCAGAGAGAGAAGGCTTTGTGATGGGAGAGGGGGCAGCCGTGGTGCTTCTGGAGGAAAGAGAGCACGCTGTGAGGAGAGGAGCCCGAATATACGCTGAGATTCTGGGGTACGGGCTCTCAGGGGACGCCAGCCACATCACGGCCCCCACTGCTGATGGAGATGGAGCCTTCAGGTCTCTAGCTTAGGGTTTTTATCGTGCATGGAGTTACATTTTCAGCTTGTGGTTTCAACGTTTAAGTAATAATATATAATGCAGTAAAACTCTTGTCACTTATTAAAGTAGTGGTTCCAAACTTTGGGATCGAATTATAGATCAATCACAACAATCAGACATTCCAGTTTTACTCCAATACTTGTTTTCAATAACAACAACAACAACAACCCAATAGTACTATCTTCTAAGTTACTCTTACTCATATGTTATTATTACACTAATACCATAGATCCAAAATGACCATTCCCTCTAATTTAGCTTATTGTATCTTTTGTGAAACACAATTTAAAGCTAAAACAAATGTCCAAACCTATTTATCACAGTGTAATATTCCACTTCTTTGTACTGACCTCTGACCTCTGCCCTCTGTCCTCTCAGATGCATGTCAGCGGCCCTCAGAGATGCGGGGGTTTCTCCTTCAGACGTGACGTACGTTAACGCTCACGCCACCTCCACTCCTTTGGGAGACGCCGCTGAAAACGCCGCCATCAAGAAGCTGTTCCATCAGAGCGCCGAGCATCTGTGCGTCTCCTCCACTAAAGGGGCCACGGGGCACCTTTTAGGGGCCGCAGGGGCTCTGGAGGCAGCTTTCACGGCTCTCTCCTGCTTCCACGGGGTCCTTCCTCCCACCCTGAACCTGGACTGCACAGATCCAGAGTTCAACCTGAACTACGTGCCCTTCACAGCGCAGAGGTGGAGCGCTGAGGGACGAAGAGTCGCTCTCACTAACTCCTTCGGGTTCGGAGGCACCAACGCCTCTCTGTGTCTCAGCAGCATGTGAACACACTCATTAAGAGAGTATTGACTTTTAGAGGATAGTACACACAGAAAAACATGGATACGTTGATGTTAAGTCAAAAAGTGTGAATTGAAAAGGAAATTGCTCCATTAAAAAGATCATATGTTGACTTTAGTTAAATGTGTTTTCTGTCCACAGGTTCCACAAAATGGTATATGGTTCGTCTAAGTTAATGAACTTGTAAAATAAAAGACCAAGAAGTGTTTTTTGAGCCAAATATAAATACATTCTGATAAACAAGGGGTATTAAAGTTGTGTCAGTGTGTCAGCAGCATCTGAACGGACTCATTAGGAGAGTAATTATTGACTTTTAAAGGAAATTGGCCCATTAAAATAAATGATACGTTGACTTTAATTGCATTTATTTTGTCCACCGGAAACCAAAAATTGTGAATTGAGCCAATTAAATAAAACATCTGATCATCAAGGGATATTAAAGATATGTGTCTGTCTCAGCAGCATCTGAACAGACTCATTAAGAGAATAATTATTGACTTTTAAAGGAAATTACATTAAAAAAACGATACGTTGACTTTAATAAGTTGTATTTTTGTCCACAGGTTCCACAAAATTGTACTTGGTTTGTCAAACTAACTTAACTTGTATAATAAAAGACCAGAAAGTGTGAAAATGCCATGTCACTGTTTCCCAGCAGCATGTGAACAGAGAGAATAACTATCATGATTGACTTGTATTTTCCAAACATTATCTTTTATTCAGAAATATGCTTAAGAAAAGAAAACATGACAAAATGAAATGGTTATCATTCAAAGCTATAACAATTTAGCTGGGAAACGGCATTGTCCTGCAGTTAGTCATCTATTTGATCATCTGATAAATCCAAAGGGCCGCCAGATATTCTTAAATACATGTTGTCTATCCTTTACAACATACCTGGAGGCGGGACAACGGAAGCACGGCAGTTACTTTACTGTTTACTGCTTTAAACAATTAACACGAAACTGACCAAATAAAGTTGAACCCAAGGAACCAGGTCCAGGTGGGTAACAAACGCTCCATAGAAAACTACAATCATGGCGGCTAATCGTAAGTAACGTCTCATATAGAATAACAGGAGCTCTGAAATGAAACCATTGATAATAAATTAGCACTGCTTTTAATTGTATGCATAATTCTTCGATCATTTAAGACGAAACTGGTTCATTTTCCCCATGTCATGTCTTACGCTGGCTCTTTTTAATATTGTAAATCCTGCACGACACTTCTGCTCCACCTCTTGAATGAAGTATATAGTATTTGTCTTATTATATTGTACTGTATTCAGTCTCTCACATATTTATATTTTGTGTAAATATGGTCTTTATGTTTAATTAGTTACTATAAAATCATTTTACATAGGCCTATCCTTTTTTAAATAGCTTTAATTATAAAGATTATATTTATAATTGCAATCTTTTTTCTTCTGAACATTATTATGTCTGTGTCTTTGTGTGCACCATATACTATAAAATATCTCGTATGTGTAAACCTACTTGGATGGACGGACTACATTTCCCATGAGCACTGTGTGTATTGCGTTCTTATCCTGGTTCTTATCAACGTAACCATGGGAACAGCGCTAAAGCCTCTCGCTCTCTCTCTGCTGTCAGTTTGTCTGCAGCTCAGAGAAGGCAGGGCGCTCTGCTGTCAGACATCAGAAATACTTATACATATTAATACTTATACATATATGTACTGCTTTATCGTGACACGTAGTAAGTACAGGTAACTCGCTTTGGTTTATATCTAGTCTTTATTAGCCGGCTCTTTCTGCTAGGCTAACTTTGCTGAGTGGCTAACGCTCAGGTGAACGGAGAGGATGCTGGAGTCCATTAAAGTCACAGGTAATCTGCATTTACCTTCTCTTTCTGTTGAGTGTAGTGACTGTAGCTGGAAGTTCAGTCACCTGGAGGAGTCACTACAAATCAGGGACAAGGATTACATGCATGTAATATACCTTTATAGCAAGGAGGTCAATTAAAGCTACCTGTGTACCAAAAACTAGCTAGTTAAATGAGCATAATAGCTTAGGAAAAGGAGGGAGAAGTACTCAGATCTTGTACTTGAGTAAAAGTAGAAGTACTCAGATCTTGTACTTGAGTAAAAGTAGAAGTACTCAGATCTTGTACTTGAGTAAAAGTAGAAGTACTCAGATCTTGTATTTGAGTAAAAGTAGAAGTACTCAGATCTTGTACTTGAGTAAAAGGAGAAGTACTCAGATCTTGTACTTGAGTAAAAGTAGAAGTACTCAGATCTTGTACTTGAGTAAAAGTAGAAGTACTCAGATCTTGTACTTGAGTAACAGTAGAAGTACTCAGATCTTGTACTTGAGTAAAAGCAGAAGTACTCAGATCTTGTAGTTGAGTAAAAGTAGAAGTAGTCAGATCTTGTACTTGAGTAAAAGTAGAAGTACTCAGATCTTGTTCTTGAGTAAAAGTAGAAGTACTCAGATCTTGTATTTGAGTAAAAGTAGAAGTACTCAGATCTTGTATTTGAGTAAAAGTAGAAGTACTCAGATCTTGTATTTGAGTAAAAGTAGAAGTACTCAGATCTTGTACTTGAGTAACAGTAGAAGTACTCAGATCTTGTACTTGAGTAAAAGTAGAAGTACTCAGATCTTGTATTTGAGTAAAAGTAGAAGTACTCAGATCTTGTACTTGAGTAAAAGTAGAAGTACTCAGATCTTGTATTTGAGTAACAGTAGAAGTACTCAGATCTTGTACTTGAGTAACAGTAGAAGTACTCAGATCTTGTACTTGAGTAACAGTAGAAGTACTCAGATCTTGTACTTGAGTAACAGTAGAAGTACTCAGAGTGTAGTAATACTCTGTTAGGAGTAGAAGTACACAGTAGCATACAAAGTAAAATTACTTCAAAAATGTACATAAGTCTATTAATCACAACTGAACATGTTTGATGAAAGCACTCTTATTTAGCATGTACCTTGTTTAGTATGTTAGGGCTAAGACACGTTGATAGTGTCTTAGCTATAAATAAGCTTACCTGGCCTTAGAGTACATGTCAGTACTCTGTATAATATATATTGTGTCTTTTAGTGCCTATGTTACTGTATCATAGGCATTTGTGTTGTTAAGAGTTATGGCCGAGCGTACTCAGTGCTGACTCAGTGCTGACTCATGCTGATTAATGCTCTTCATCTGCTTTCAAATTCACACAGAGCCTTGTTCTGAGTAATGGTGATGTATGAACTGCAGGCGCTTCAGTATTGATTTATTTTGTAGTTGAAATACACAGGTTTCAGGACTGTGCTTTCTCTCGTAACTTTCATAGATTAAAGGTAACTGGCATGGGAATGTCTTGAAAGAAAACACCCAGGAGATGCTTGGTTGTTCACTTCCTTGCCTACAGTACGAAGTGATATAAGACTATCATTTGAGGTTGATCTGAATGATGAGATAACCAGTGTTAGATAATAGTGTTTTATTCGCTGTATGAGTCCTCGTCTCTCTTCCATCCTGTGCTGCCGTCATTAGCTTCTGTGGTTGCATGGATTCTGCCTCAGTGCTCCAAACTCTATCCCGCTCTCTCTGTGATGACGATGTTCCAGGTCACCTTACTGGAAACTGCTCAGACCTGCACTCTGACTCCTGAGCGTTCGTGCCGGGCTCTGGAATCATTCACTCTGAGATAGAAGACGCTCAAGAAACTGAGTCAGGGATGATTTGTGACACCACAATGTGGGAGAAGAAAGTTGTAACTTGCTTAGAGAGATGCTAAAACAAATAGTGATTGCAAATGTTGGTTTCTATATTTATCACCTTGTTCTTTTAGCTTGTCATTGGTACAGGTCTAATTGTATCCCTCCTTGATAAGAGGATCAAGCTGTCTGTGAAAGCGTCTGATCCTAAAGTTAGCAGCTCACACTTTCACTGTCTTCGCTCACTGGTGTCTCGTCTCCCTTCTTTCAGAAAGACTCCACTGGCCTGAAGTAGAAATGTCCAAAAAGTACATCCTGAACTCTGCTGACAAGGCGCTGAGTCCGGGCCAAGTTTACCTGGAGAAGATTTCCTCCAGCGTCCTCAAAGACCTCTTCAGCAGCGGCAGCTACAACTCCCTGCTGCAGGCGGAGGAACAAGAGAAGAAGAGTCCCAAGCACTTCAAGAGGCCAAAAGCATCTGTAAAATGTGGCGCCACAGTAACAACCAGAAGAAAAGCCCAAGGCAGCACGGCTCCTAAAAAGTGTCGAGCACCAGATGTTGGCGTTAAACCAGCACAGACACACCGAGTCCTCTCAGGAAATCTGTCCAAACCAGCTCGAAACATCGCAGTAGTGGGAAGTGCGATGGGTTTGAACCCTCGTACACAGATCAGGAAGACCCTGAGTTCCCCTCGCACTAAACTCCCCTCGCTGCACAAAGCATCCGTCACACGGGAAGTGGAGAACACCAAGAGGCTCTGCATCCTCTCCGCCATCAAGCCGTCCAACGTGGAGAAAGAGAAGGCCAAGTTCTTTAAGTCTGACTTCAACTACAACCCACAGTTTGAGTACAGCAACCCGGTTCCTCCGCTGGTTCTGGCCCGGCACAGCATCGCCTCCGATCGCTTCCTCACACAGGTAACGTTCTCTGTCTTTGTTAGAAACACACTTTTTCGCAAAATCAACATATTCTGACCTTTTCTAAAGATTCTGACTTTTTCTAAACTTCAGATTAGGTCCACATCAGAAATGAGCATGCTTGATGTCTCTCTCCATAGAGGCTGAATCATCATGTTAATCACATAGCTATCATCTGCCTCAAACAGTCCTGATGCTCTTCTAGGTAATCACACATCCTGTCATGTTCACAGCTACAGTTGATACCTTTGTTAGCATGCTGCTCTCATCTTGGAGGAGGACACTCAGGATGTTCACAACAGTCTTTTTGGAACATTTGAATAATTTTTTCTTGGATTGTTCGGCTAGGCGAGAGCAATAACAGCCGTAACAAATAAGCTTTATTGAAATGCTTTAAAATATCTTCCAAGTGGACTGTATCTATATTATTGAGGCAACACTCAACATGTTTTCTGTATTTTAACAATAGCTTAAATGACTTTGTGCAATACAAAAGCAAAAGAGGCTTTTCTGTTCTGGTTTTTGCAGATGTACCGTTTCAAATCCATCTCAAAGCTCCCATTAATATGGTTTTTAAGCGCTGATAAACCCTTTGAGCACTACTTCCCTGAATGGCTGACTAGCTGGTGAACAAACCGGCAACTAAAAAGGCAGATGTGTTTTCTCTGGAGAGGGAGGAGACCAAAACAGAGCTAAGTGAAAATCATGGGTTTAACTTGTTGTAAAGTTCCCCCCTGAGGTTTCCAATAACTACCATTAGCTTCGGTCCCATTCTTACTGATCATTATCCCCAGTCTTTGTAATGGTTTGAAAGCATCTTAAGTTCTCTTTCAAAGTCAAACTGAAGACCTTGCTTGTACGCTGCACGAAAAGAGAAAGCAGAATGACACCAATGTGGGCCAGAAGCAGTGACACATCATTCATCACAGCAACTTCCCTGGTGTATTAGTTCAGCGCTGAGGCTGCTGGTCTCAGATCTGCAGACTGAGATCTCAGAGACTTCCTGCCAATGCTGTTTAACGTCATGGAGGATCAGAGCTGATTCAGAGAGAGTGGGTTACCTAAGAGAAAGGGAAGGTGGGTGGGATGATGAATGAATTCAGGATACAGAGGACTTTATGAAGCAAACACTGCCATTGGGCTTCTTAAGACAACATTAAGATTTCAACGTCTTTTTTGCAATAAGCACAAAAGCTACTGGGTAGTTGTTGGCAATGGACATCTGAAGTCCCAGGGTCTTCCAGCAGTTATAATACAATATACTTAAGAAATAAAATACATCAAAATGGTGCAAATGACAAAGTGGAGCAAGTAGAAGAGCTGGAATATGTGAAATAGGTAGATAAAAAAGTCAATAAATACAGTACGTTGGAATAAAGTACTGCTTATTGTAATAATATATACATATGTGGACGGACAACAGATGTATATGCTATGAACAAGAAGATAAAGACACGTTTCACACATCATGCATTTACCAGCCACATTAATAATCATGTTAGATAAGTAACACTAGAGCTGTAGAAGAATCGCACCAAAAAAAGACAAGAATTCAAATGCATATTCTGAACTATCCTCCACAAATACATGCAGATTGCAGAGATGTGCAGAGTGAGAAGGAAAACAGTGGTGTTGGGTTTCAGGCTTTTTTTAGAAAGTCGTGCACAGACACAGTAAGACAAAGGAAAGCGTGAGAGGAAGATTTCAACAAGAAACGCAGTCAAACGATCCTGTGGAGGATGCTTTTTTCCTGGAGTCTGCCCTAGTTTGGCATGCTTTAATCTTTCTGCGATGCCTTTCCAAAGATCACTTTCGCTTTAATCTCATTTGTCTAATATAATGATAATTAATCAGTGGGAATAGAAGGCATTAATACTCATTAGAGTTCACTGTAATGAAGCAGCCTTTAAATTAATATTCAGCATGATTTCATTCATTGTAAAGCCAGACTGTGCGCTAGAGTTACACAGGAACTTTAATTATAAATTAGTGTGAAGCCGGACTAATGGCAGGAATTACTCTCTACATACTGGACATGATAAATACATAATAAAGGATAAAAACACCATCTACAGTATCTCTTATATATCATGCTGTAAATAAATGATATCACTGGAGTTGTGAGGAGGTGGCTTTACTTTACTTCATTTGTGGTTTCATTTTTTCTGTTTTGCTTTATTTCCTTCGGTTTATTTTTGTTAAAAATCCAGTTATCATTTGTTAATAAACGCCACCTTAGTTGCACTTACTCCTTACCTATTGACCTGCTTCTTACACATATCCTAAAGGCTCAGTTTACTGTAATTATAAGAAGAGCTAGACTTCTACATTTGCCAGTTGTTTAAAGATTTATTGGGGATATACTGGTGTAAGTTCACAGTATTGCATATTAAGTACCAAGAGACTGCAGAAACAGAAATGCAAAACCAGTTTGGAGGTCATTTAGAAGCTCTGTCTTTATATCAGTTTGTCCACAAGGAGAACAGTTTATTTTTCAATTGTCAGATGTCCAGATCTGTATGTGTCGCGTCAGAATTCTTAAAAATAAAATAATTGGTTGAACTCTTATCCGAATCGTAGTAATCTGATGTTTTAAACTCTCCCAACATGTAATCATAGTCATCCTGTAGCTATTAGGCTCTAGGAGAGGTGGTATTAGTGTACAAATGAAATTAGATGTTGGGTTTTATTGTAAATAAGAGCAGCATTTAATATAAAATGTACCCAGTATAGAGCCCTGAGGAACCCCATAGGATGAAGAGGAATTAACAACTCCTCTACTTCCCATAGTTGGTCGTTAAAAAGTTGTAGTATTCGTCTTTTCTATATGTCGGGTCAAAATTCTTAAAAATAAAATAATGTGTTGAAAAGTTATTTTAGCTCGATCGTAGTAATCTAATGTTTTAAACTCTCCCAACATGTATTCATAGACATTATTTAGCTATTAGGCATTAAGAGAGGTGGTATCAGTGTAAAAATGAAATGAGATGTTGGGGTTTATTGTAAGAAAACAATGCATAATGTACCCAGTATAGAGCCCTGAGGAACCCCATAGTTGGTCGTTCAAAAGTTGTAGTATTTGTCTTTTCTTTATTTGTCGGGTCAAAATTCTTAAAAATCAAATAATGGGTTGAACAGTGAACACTGATCTTAGCTCGATCATTGTAATATAATGTTTTAAACTCTCCTAACATGTATTCATAGTCATTCTTTAGCTATTCTAAGAGAGATGCTCTAAGAGAGGTGGTATCAGTGTAAAAATGAAATGAGATGTTGGGTTTTATTGTAAGTAAATAATGCATAATGTACCCAGTATAGATCCCTGAGGAACCCCATAGTTGGTCGTTCAAAAGTTGTAGTATTTGCCTTTTTCTTTTCTTCTATACGAGTCGTCTGACTAACTTTGATTTGTTTAATATCTGTCTGACAGTCTAGGTTTCTTGCTATCTCATATAGCTTCTCATCAGCACATCTTGCAGTTATTGCCAAGTCCTTTATGTCTGTTGTAACTTCCTTTTATTGAAGGCAGTAACATTATTTGTTTATTTGCTTCCTGACAAAAGTTAAGGACGAAATGTTTGACATTAAATGCTTTTATTTTGAAGTGCAAGTATGTATCCTTCTCGTTCGAGTGCATTTTCCCCGTCTACTACCGTTCTTGTTGGAAACTGTTACAATAATATAAAGTAACAACGTTCAGTTTGGACTAGACTCGCTTTGTTTTTCTTTCGAACCTGCCATTATTCAACAATGTCCTCAGCATCACCAGCAGTATGTTTCCTCCTCTCTTCAGGCGGTGAACATCATGGAGTTGGCTCTGCAGAGGTACGGCAGCTATGAGAAGTTTGAACAAGCCACCGGAGGAAATCTGCTGAGCAAGAGTCGCGTTTGCCACAATGTCAAGAAGTACATGGAGAAGGAGGGCTGTGTGGGGGAGGTACGAGGAGAAAAACACATGCATTTACTTTCAATTTGCACAATCTTATGGCGTTGTAGTTTGATTTCAACTCCACCAAACGCAGTTCCCACTTCAGGTCATTTAACATAAAGTCAAAAAGTTGGATGTCAGGAGAATCTTCATGCTTCATCACAAGCAGGAAGATTCTCCTGACGTTGTTTAATCAGACTTTTGCGCCACTTTCAATCCAATTTCCAGCCTGAATGAGGGGTATCTTGTGTATATGTTGTTGTATGCCTTGCAACATTACGTCCTTACTACTTTTTGCATCTTTCTACTGGTTTAATATGTAATTGTGTGGCAAAGAAATGGCTCGTGAACACACAAACAGTCATGAATAACTCCAATTGCATTTCTGCACTTGTTCTGAAGTCATTAAGAGGCTGTTGTTTGTAGCCTGGTGTCTTTGTGTGTTGTTCTGGATGCTGACATGATAACAGATCAGCAGACCGCAGCGTCACAGCCAATCAGCTCCAGGGAGAAGACCTTGCAAAAAAACAGTCGCTCCCTGAAGTCATCCTGCACTTTGCTTTATGTAACCACCAACAAAGACACGTTACATCACCGGGTTATTAATGGCCCACTGCACACACACACACACACACACACACACACACACACACACACACACACACACACACAGACATATACCGAGCATCCTTGGGAGAGTCTTAATAGGTTTAGACAGTGAAGGAAATACAAGAGAGGGAATAGCATTCAAGGAGGAACCAAACGATAAACTCACACAACTCTTTCTGCACCAATCGTGTTGAGCTGAGCTACAAATGACAGTATACGTTTTTCTGTAACCAAGATGATATGTTCGCAGTCTGCATAGATACAAGGACAACGTCAATTTAACATGCCACTGATGTATTTATAGACATTATTTGAATACTTATCCGCCTACTCAGACATTTTATTAACACATAACAGGCAGGACAGAGTCACAAGAACACAAGCTTTGTAACTATACCTAAAAAGACACTTATTATCATATCTAGTGCTAAGTAGGTGCCGATAGCTTTATTGTTGCTTCTGGGGCTTTTATTTAAAAAACCAACCTTTTTCCTGAGCTTCCTGTTAGGATACTCCACTGAAGTTGGGAAGTGGATTGGACAGGTTATAGGATAATATACAGCATTTATTTTACGTTTAATTGTGAGTGTATGGTTGATGTGCCTCAGGGGGTCAAAGTCTGTCCCCCAATCAGAGGGTCAGGGTTTCTCTGACTCCTACGGTCAATATGTCCAAATGTTATCCACCAAGATACTTAACTCCAAATTGCTTCTGTAGAACAATTGCTATGGTTTGAAGCATCAGCTAAACTGAACTCTTATGTGTGAAGGAAACTTCTGAAGCAATAGGAGTCAGGACTCGAGGAGAGCTGGAGCTTTGATGAGTCAGGACTCAGAGAGACACGAGGAGAGCTGGAGCTCTGATGGAGTCAGGACTCAGAGAGACGAGGAGAGCTGGAGCTCTGATGGAGTCAGGACTCAGAGAGACACGAGGAGAGCTGGAGCTTTGATGGAGTCAGGACTCAGAGAGACACGAGGAGAGCTGGAGCTCTGATGGAGTCAGGACTCAGAGACACGAGGAGAGCTGGAGCTTTGATGGAGTCAGGACTCAGAGACACGAGGAGAGCTGGAGCTTTGATGGAGTCAAGACTCAGAGACACGAGGAGAGCTGGAGCTCTGATGGAGTCAGGACTCAGAGACACGAGGAGAGCTGGAGCTCTGATGGAGTCAGGACTCAGAGACACGAGGAGAGCTGGAGCTTTGATGGAGTGGAGTCAGGACTCAGAGAGACGAGGAGAGCTGGAGCTCTGATGGAGTCAGGACTCAGAGAGACACGAGGAGAGCTGGAGCTCTGATGGAGTCAGGACTCAGAGAGACGAGGAGAGCTGGAGCTCTGATGGAGTCAGGACTCAGAGAGACACGAGGAGAGCTGGAGCTCTGATGGAGTCAGGACTCAGAGACACGAGGAGAGCTGGAGCTCTGATGGAGTCAGGACTCAGAGACACGAGGAGAGCTGGAGCTCTGATGGAGTCAGGACTCAGAGAGACACGAGGAGAGCTGGAGCTCTGATGGAGTCAGGACTCAGAGACACGAGGAGAGCTGGAGCTTTGATAGAGTCAGGACTCAGAGAGACGAGGAGAGATGGAGCTTTGATGGAGTCAGGACTCAGAGACACGAGGAGAGCTGGAGCTCTGATGGAGTCAGGACTCAGAGAGACGAGGAGAGATGGAGCTTTGATGGAGTCAGGACTCAGAGAGACACGAGGAGAGCTGGAGCTCTGATGGAGTCAGGACTCAGAGAGACGAGGAGAGCTGGAGCTCTGATGGAGTCAGGACTCAGAGACACGAGGAGAGCTGGAGCTCTGATGGAGTCAGGACTCAGAGACACGAGGAGAGCTGGAGCTTTGATGGAGTCAGGACTCAAAGAGACACGAGGAGAGCTGGAGCTCTGATGGAGTCAGGACTCAGAGAGACACGAGGAGAGCTGGAGCTCTGATGGAGTCAGGACTCAGAGACACGAGGAGAGCTGGAGCTCTGATGGAGTCAGGACTCAGAGACACGAGGAGAGATGGAGCTTTGATGGAGTCAGGACTCAGAGAGACACGAGGAGAGCTGGAGCTTTGATGGAGTCAGGACTCAGAGACACGAGGAGAGCTGGAGCTCTGATGGAGTCAGGACTCAGAGAGACACGAGGAGAGCTGGAGCTCTGATGGAGTCAGGACTCAGAGAGACACGAGGAGAGCTGGAGCTTTGATGGAGTCAGGACTCAGAGAGACACGAGGAGAGCTGGAGCTCTGATGGAGTCAGGACTCAGAGAGACACGAGGAGAGCTGGAGCTCTGATGGAGTCAGGACTCAGAGACACAAGGAGAGCTGGAGCTCTGATGGAGTCAGGACTCAGAGAGACACGAGGAGAGCTGGAGCTCTGATGGAGTCAGGACTCAGAGAGACACGAGGAGAGCTGGAGCTCTGATGGAGTCAGGACTCAGAGACACGAGGAGAGCTGGAGCTCTGATGGAGTCAGGACTCAGAGAGACGAGGAGAGCTGGAGCTCTGATGGAGTCAGGACTCAGAGAGACACGAGGAGAGCTGGAGCTCTGATGGAGTCAGGACTCAGAGACACGAGGAGAGCTGGAGCTCTGATGGAGTCAGGACTCAGAGACACGAGGAGAGCTGGAGCTCTGATGGAGTCAGGACTCAGAGAGACACGAGGAGAGCTGGAGCTCTGATGGAGTCAGGACTCAGAGACACGAGGAGAGCTGGAGCTCTGATGGAGTCAGGACTCAGAGAGACGAGGAGAGCTGGAGCTTTGATGGAGTCAGGACTCAGAGACACGAGGAGGAGCTGGAGCTCTGATGGAGTCAGGACTCAGAGACACGAGGAGAGCTGGAGCTCTGATGGAGTCAGGACTCAGAGACACGAGGAGAGCTGGAGCTTTGATGGAGTCAGGACTCAGAGACACGAGGAGAGCTGGAGCTTTGATGGAGTCAAGACTCAGAGAGACACGAGGAGAGCTGGAGCTCTGATGGAGTCAGGACTCAGAGACACGAGGAGAGCTGGAGCTTTGATGGAGTCAGGACTCAGAGACACGAGGAGAGCTGGAGCTCTGATGGAGTCAAGACTCAGAGACACGAGGAGAGCTGGAGCTCTGATGGAGTCAGGACTCAGAGAGACACGAGGAGAACTGGAGCTCTGATGGAGTCAGGACTCAGAGAGACACGAGGAGAGCTGGAGCTTTGATGGAGTCAGGACTCAGAGACACGAGGAGAGCTGGAGCTTTGATGGAGTCAGGACTCAGAGAGGAGAGCTGGAGCTCTGATGGAGTCAGGACTCAGAGAGACACGAGGAGAGCTGGAGCTCTGATGGAGTCAGGACTCAGAGAGACGAGGAGAGCTGGAGCTCTGATGGAGTCAGGACTCAGAGAGACGAGGAGAGCTGGAGCTCTGATGGAGTCAGGACTCAGAGAGACACGAGGAGAGATGGAGCTCTGATGGAGTCAGGACTCAGAGAGACACGAGGAGAGCTGGAGCTCTGATGGAGTCAGGACTCAGAGAGACACGAGGAGAGCTGGAGCTCTGATGGAAAACACTGACGGTTTATTTGGAGCTTCGGCCGGAGAATTCACGAGACATGTCACGAGCCACGAGTTGACCACAGATTGAGATGCCACATCAATTCTGAGGGTTCTCCTCTCTGGTAGAGGTGTAACTAGTTTGCTGGGGAATGAACATTCTTCACTAGGTAGACTAAACAGCTGAGGAAACTGAATCAAATGGGGCGAAGCCTGCGAGCTAGTTCAGGCAGTCAACTCGAGCACCAATGATACATTAACACGTGACGCGCCTCGTCCCTCTGACAACCGACCAAACACATTCTCCTAAACATGCCGCTCTATTGAAGCTGCCAGGTCTGCCTGCCTCTGCCTCGCTAGCTGCTGCTGCTGTGCTTCATGTTCCTGCTGCTGTGCTTCATGTTGCTGCTGCTCGCCTGCCCCCCCCCCAGCTTCCACCTGTAGGCTCGGGGGATGGTGATCTAATCATCACTCAATGTTCTTTGTAAATCTGTGGAGCGATGAGGCCCGAGCCGAGACGCCAAACTCAACTATATGCTGCTTCTAAATAAACATGTTAAAAACACGTGAGTTGTCTGACTGAACTTTAGTTCTCGGTTATGGCTCGAGGATCTTACACCTCGGGGTCATCTCCACCCCGAGAAGGATGTGTTCCAGGTGTCCCACAACAATAACTATCTCTGACCGAGAGTTGCCCGGTCACAAACTGGTAACAACAACAAAATGCTAGGGCAGCCCCTCCTTCAGGGAGATAGGGCTGTCCGAGGCTGAGCGTCTGTGTCAGAGGGCGAAGGAGGACAAGCAGGGCAAAGGATTCCCTGACATTATGTAATATGGTGTATGTGTTAAACAGATCGTGGTGCAGGTGACGGAGGACCTGCTCTCCAGAGCCTCCATGACGGTGGTGAACAGCCGCCCGACCCTCACCATCAACATCTGCAGCGCCAGAGAGCACTGGCTGGAGGGGATGCTGCGGCACGAGATCGGTGAGGGGGTTATTCTCTATGTGGGGTCCTGGAGGACAATAATGTACTTAGTATTGTAGTAGATTTATCATTTAGTCTCATTTAGGTTTATAACTTCCTTCTCTGGTTTGATTTCCCCGCAGTTTGAATCACATCTAGCTTCTAATTCTCACTTCCTTAGAAAAGACAGAAGGCTGCCTCTTTGACCATTGTTAGGATTGATCTCCAGGGCCAGGAGTTCAACACTTTTAATCTCAATCAGATCAGATCAGATTTTGAAATCCCATTTTTCGGGATCCAGGATCAGACAAGCCGGTCAAATGTTGTCCCTGGAGTTCAAAGCAATTCAGGATCAGCCTGATCCAGATTACGACTTTTCAAGATGACTAGATCCTGAATATCAGTGCTTTAATCCCACCGAGCGCCATCTAGTGGACATGAGAAATACTACAAGGAAGACAAGAGACCACATTGCAGAGACATCTATTGTCCGCAATTACTTCTGAAAGGTGATGACAGATGATGGACTTTTCTTTTGTTGAAGATATTTTTAATTTAATCTAAATTACATTTGTAATTGACAATCTTTGTTGTGATACTTTCATGAGCAGAAACATTTATGTCATCAACATTTGGTTGAAAACAAAATAGGCCACAAACGTGAGCAAACATGAATGTATTTCCCATGAAGGCTAAAAATGGTGTATTATTTCAGTTAACAAACTTTGCCATCTAATTTATATTGAAACATATTTTGAAATAAATGGTACAGTACATGTTGCTATGGTAATCCACTGGAGATCCACCCCTCTGGTGGGATCAGGATAATCCAGTTTTTTGGGATCAATCCGGTGTTGTCGGTTTGAACCCGTTTTGAAGATTTGATCCAGATTAAAGCTTGGATTGGATTTCCTGATCGGATATCAAAGTGATCCTAATCCTGTTGTTTGGTTTTGAACTCCCCAAAATCCAAATCTGATCTGATCAGATAGGGATTAAAAGTTTTGAACTCCTGGGCCCTGGAACTCATTATTTCATGTATTTAACTGATGGCAAGAAATGGGAATACTCAACTACAAGTATCTTAAAGTTGTGCTTGAGTACATCTACTTAGTTACTTTACACCACTGAGGATTTACAGTATTAAGATGCTGTTTGCATGTACAGTATTACAAACAACTAGATATTGTTTACATGACTTGCATTATGAGTGCTCTCAGAACACCCTGTCTCCTTCCTCCAGGCACTCATTATTTCATGTATATAACTGATGGCATGAAATGGAAATACTCAAGTAAAGTACAAGTATCTTCAAATGTTACTTGAGTACAGTTCTTGAGTACATCTACTTAGTTACTGTACACCTCTGAGGATTGCACTTTCAATTGCCTTGTATTGAAAAGTGCTATATAACTAAACTTGCCTTACCTACAGTAGATTGTTTGCATGACGTGCGTTTTGAGTGTTTTCAGAAACCTCTCCCTCCCTCCTCCAGGAACTCATTATTTCCGCGGGCTGAACAACCTGCAGCAGCCGTGGAGCAGCGCGTCGGCCCGCAGGAGGCTCAACCTGAGGCCCCTGAACCCCACAGAGGAGGGTCTGGCCAGCCTGCACAGCGTCCTCTTCAGGAAGGACCCCACCCTGTGGAGAGCAGCTCTTCTTTACTACACCGTGCACCAGGCCAGCAGCATGTCCTTCTGCCAGCTCTTCCACTGCTTGGGGGGCTTCCTGCAGGACCCCAACACCCGCTGGGACTACTGTGTGAGGGCCAAGAGGGGCCAGAGGGACACCAAGCAGCCAGGTGAGGGTCCTCAGATCACAACATTACATCATTTGTACAATGCCTTGTCTTTTTATGCTGCTGCGACTCTAACATTTCCCAAATTGGGATCAATAAAGTACTTCTTATCTTATCTCCTCCTATCCTATCTCCTCCTCCTGCAGGATGCTTCAGTAAAGACCAGGTGTATCTGGACGGGATCCTGAAGATCCTGAGGTTCAGAGACAAGATCAACTTCCCCCTGCTGATGGCTCTGGGGAAGGTGAGGAGGACTGGACACCACCTCCATCTTCATATATGAATATATATATATATATATATAATATAATATATATTCCTTCCTTCTTCCTTCCCTTCCTTCCTTCCTTCCCTTCCTTCCTTCCTTCCTTCCTTCCTTCTTCCTTCCTTCCTTCTTCCTTTTTCCTTTTCTTTCTTCCCTTCCCTTCTTCCT